GCCTGGTGTTAAAATTATGATTAGCACTTCTGTACAAAAGTTGACAATCCAGGACATTAGGAACTCTAGACACTGAAATATTTCTTATAAAACAAAGCATATACATAATTGTCCTATCCTTCGCTAGTGGCCAACCTACAGTTTTATGCGACCACAGAATTTGACCACTGGATTTACAGAAATCATTTCACTTTTAAAGAGTGTTTTCTCAACATTGCAACATTGCATCTGTAATTAACTCATTGCTCAGACACATTTATTTGAATTATTATCACATTTATTATGTCTTTGAAAGGCTTTTGTCTATTGAAGGCTATTTTGTCTATTAAACACACACATTCACACCATTTCGTATTTATATGTAATGCATGGATTTATACATAGTTATATATATATAGAGAGAGCGAGAGAGAGAGAGAGAGAGATGTTTTATATTTTTGACAATTTAACAACACATTTGCATGTGATATCAGTTAATGGTCACATGACATGCAGGTAAACAAATGGTTCTCATTTAGAGGATACCAGCAGTTTCTTGACCTAGGAGGGAACCCCATGATGGCCTTTTTTTTAAAAAATTTTTTTATTAAACATAGAATACAAGAACTCATAGAGGTGACAGCATAGAATAAAACCAAATACAATAACAATCAGCATCAAACCTTAAGGGGATCCACAAAACATAAGGCAAAAAATAAAAAAATAAAATTTACAACACAAGAAACTTGGACATGTCCGATGATATTTTCGGGGCACGACCATTTGTAAGTAATCTCAGTGAGGAGTAGAATAGTTTAAATTCGTTCATGAAATGAACAAAGCAGGGGCGAGAGTCTCTTCACTTACAACAATGTATATGATATTTGGCAAGTAGGAAAACAATATTCACAATGTCTGATATTGAAGTATCTAAATCATCAACATAAAACTGGTTATGGTTGATGTTAAATTCAGGGATGTTTGACATTTTTAGATTCAGCCAGTCTCTAACATCACTCCAGAACTGGCATGAAATGGAGGAACAGGTAAAAAAAATCAGAGATTCATCAGTAAAATCACAAAAAGCACAACCCGCCTTGTCAAATTTAAATCGCTTATGAAGAAAATTGGAAACTGGATAGATCTTATGACAGATTTTGAAATGCGTTTCTTTGACTTTAGGCGGAATTGGCCATGCATTTAACATATTTAGAGAAGGCTTTACCCAGCATATCAGAATGGTTTACAGGCACATTGTTTTTATTATAATCATGGAACAATTTAGATTTAAAAGCATCCGTAGCAACCCTATTATTGAAGATTTTATCA